AGATAAGGACATTGCAACCATCCTGAAGATACCTGATAAGCTAGGGCCAGATGGAAAGAGAGGAGGACACCCCCTCTCAGTGGACTCGGAAGGGGGCAGGGAGGAAATGAGGGAGGGAGGAGGAGTGGGAGGGAAAGAGGGAGAGGGCTACAGCTCGGATACAAGTGAATGTATAAAATTATTTAAAAATTAAAAAAATTCAATCTTATCAGCTCAAATCTTAATCACTATTTATATTATCCATTATATTCTCTAAGGATATTGCACATTACAAAGCAAAGTCCGTATTCTCTTAATTTGCAGAGGATTTTGGGTGATTACATATATACATATATACACACGTATGTGTGTGTATGTGTAGGTATGTGTACATATACGAATACTTTCTGTGACATATTTGCGGATACTTTCTTAGGTTCTGAATTTATCCGAAAGCCTCTGAGTAAACTCCAGTGATGGTCCTTTAGGGTTTATTCGTTCTATTGTGTATGAGTGTTTTGCCTGCCTGTAAGTGCGCTCGCGTGTGCTTCTGGTGCACGCAGAGGCCAGAAGAAGAAACTGGATCTCCTGGCTGGGTCCAGCTGCCACGTGAGTGCTGGGAACCCGACCCAGGCAGACTGCAAGGGCGGTATGTGCTCTTAACCATGAAATCATCTCTCCAGCCCACAACGAAACATTTTGTATTCCCTATGACAAAAGGTACTACGAAAAAGCAATTTTACATTATGCAATTTTAAAATTTCCTTCAAATCAGATGCTTTTGACCATCAATAGTGATGTTTATTGTTAATGGGAATAATTAGGGTTGGCAGCCATACCTGTCAAGGAGCTGTCACACTCCTACAAATTTTGGGTTCTTCAATATATTGGTTAGAGTCAGCCCCCTGCAAGAGTGTAAGGTGTGAGCAGTGCGGGTTTAAGAGCTTTGACTTTGGCCCTCACATGCCTCGTTTGGTGCTTTTCTGCATGCTCTGCTTTTCCTGGATATCTTTTATGCAACTCCACTCTTCTGAGACTTTGCAGGCAATTTTCATGACTGCTAAAAATCTAATTAACAGATTGTGCTCATTTTCAGAGGTTCTTTGGCATTGCAATAAGGGCTATAATGTTATCACGAGGGCAAACATCGTATTAATCAGAGTTCTCTAGAGAAACAGTACTGGTAGAGTGAATATTTATTGCAAAAGGGTATTAGTTAGATGGGATTATGTGAATATCCAACAAGCCTGTGCTTTGGTGAGACAGACAACCCAGTATCTACTCAGTCCATGATATGAGTTGTTTGGGGGTTTTCATATGACGCGGATCCCCATCATATGCTGGTCTTTAGTCCACACTGAAAGACCACAGAAGCTGGGTTCTGGTTGTCAGAGATGATAGCGGCAGCAGTAGCAACAGCTGTGGAGTAGATGCACATACCAACAAGGAAAAGAAATCAAGCACAGGAAACAGGTCCTTAGAGCTCGAGTGCCCATCTAAGGCACTGCCAACTCTGGGGCAGTGCTTTTCTTTTCAGTTAACTATCCACAAGACACCTTGCAGACTCACTGGAAAGCATTGTCTCTTAGCTGATCTGAGTTTCTGTCAGGTTGACAACCAAGACGAACCGTTCCACAAATATAAGCCATTGCCATTCAAAAGAATGTGGTATTTCCCAACAGGAGCAGATATTAATCAGATCTATGAGGGTTATCAACTTTAATTCAATAGAATTCCACTTTAATAATGTAACAGAGGGTTTTGTGAATATGAATGCAACTCATCACACAATTCTTTTCCTTCTGAATCATGGCCATTGTCTGATAGAATTGGAATCTAGTAGATAAGGAATCATGAGACTGATGTTCTATTAAGAATGCCTACTTTTAAATGACTAATTATTGCTTTATTTTATCAAGAAATATCTATTATAATTAGTACCTAGTGTCTTAAACTCATATAAAACAATCTTAGAAACATGTCATATAAAAATCCGCTATATCCTGGTTATTCAATAATAGCAAACATCTCAAAACATCTCTATTTTCCATTATCTTTATTATCAGTTTCCTACATTTCTTTTCCTAGCTGTTGATTGGACAAAGTGTAGACTGCCCGTGACTTCAGTCCCTTTCCAGTCACTGTGAAAAGCAAGCAAGCAAACAAACATCAATGTCCCCTCCCCCCCCCCCCCCCCAAAAAAAAAGCCTGTCAGAGGGAGGTTTTGCAGTATTGCTCTGTCTTCCTCTGGACGCAGTGGGCTCTGTAGTTCCCTTACTAAAATTCTCTTTGCTGCCAGCTCATCCAGCAACCTAAATGGTCTTCTACATGCCTGCTGACTTCACCCCTTCCAGATACCTTGTCTCTCCGTCACTCTCCGTCAAAACCAGCAACAATCAAAGCTTAAGAGAGATGAGAGGAAAGTTCTAGAACAAAAAAGATTTACAAGTGTTTCAACTACTGACTGAATGGGTTTCCTTTGAGAAATCTGGAAAAACTGAAATTGGTAAATTGGGTATGATTGTGCCACAGATCCAGAGAGAAAGGCATCAGATTTCAGTGAGAAGAGAAACTTCAAAAGAAGAGTGACCCGTGGAGAGGCTTCTTAGCTGGGCCCTGTTTTTGTTCCAAAGCAAAAGGGAAAGGGGTGGGTTTTTGAGGAAGTGCCTCTTGGTGATGGTTAAGAATAATTCCTGTGATGAGCCTAACTTTGCTTTTCCTTTCTTGTGTGTGACTACACAGCTTGTCAATTCCTTGTATAATACAGATCAGAAATGTGCATCTTTTCTAATTTGCAGGTACAAAATCTACTCCATCTTTCAAGCTGCTCTCAAACACTTAGGTATAAATCTATCCAGGAACCGGGGTGTGGTAAAATGATTTACTTTTAATTAAAAATGATTCTAACTTTTTGTACAGTAGATGGCATTTCCTGTTTAGTCTTAGGTTTTTTTTTTTTCTTATTTTTTTTCTTCCCCTCATTGATCTTTAAAAAAAATCAGAATGGGCTAAATCTAGTCTACTAGAAGAGAAGTGGGGGTTAGAGTAGATACTAAAATCTGACCAAGCTTGCCAGCAACTTATTGCTAATACAATGGAAAGCTATATATGCCTGGGTAAACAATCAAATTACAATTATAGTGATTACTATAAAAAAATTATGGTTCAGGAGAACAGTTCTTGAGACTTGTGTGACATCCAGTCTTATCTTTAGTTTCCAAGTATCTTAGGAAAAAAGTAAACAAGTATGTAATATTGTTTCTTCTTTTAGTGCAGCTGATTTTCCTCTGTAACACTGTTGTGCTCTTGAGGCATGAAGCAAAGTCACAGCTTTGAAAATGTATTTTAAAATACAGAGGTTTTCCCATAGCCTACTTGATATGTTTCATAAACACAAAAGAGTAGTTGATCTGAATCTGTCCTGATGAGCAGAATTTGCTGTTTGGTTTGAAGGCTGAGCAAATAATCTCAGGAATTTTAGCAGTCCAAACTGTTGCTTACTGTAGTGGTTATCTGGTCTCTGTAAGCCTGCATGGCTGCCCTTCCTCGTGATGTCTGTTTTCACAACGGTGCCCTAAGAGCAGCATCTGGGCTGCTGCTCTTCCTGTGGTGGCATCTGTGATGATGCGGAGCCTTCAGTGAGGAGACTGTTCGGCTGTGCTGTCGAGTTTCCCTGATGAATCTGAACAAGAGAAATGACGTGTGTGCCCAGATTCAGAAGCCCCTTCAGTGTCTTGCATTCACCAATGAACTGAAGACCATGAGAAATGTGGCTGTTTTCTTCACTGGGAGGAAATATGCTAAAAGAAATTAAACAAGAAACTAGACACCTCTAGGCAAAGAGAGAGAGAGAGAGAGAGAGAGAGAGAGAGAGAGAAAGAGAGAGAGAGAGAACATTAGGATTTCACCGCAGTTCTAGAATTCACTCGATAAATTTACCTTGCTATCGGAATGCTGCCCCAGACAATGAAAGCACTGTAAACGCTAAGGTTAAATGTGTGCCTGAGAGGAAAATTATAGCAGGCAGAGAAACACTGCAGACTTCCAAATTTTAAAGGCATTAACCATTAAGGATAAACACATACTTCACTCATTTCCTCAGTTTAGGTATGGCATTTTAGAAAGGTGCACACTCGTTCTGTTCTGCCCATCAGAGTCCAGGAATTCCACTTCCAATCTGTGTGTAGTCTCGTGGGATAGCTGATCTTTAGCATGACTGCTGTTTATTTATTTGTACAACTTAAAACAAATCAAAGTACTGAGTATTCTTTGTAATAAATATCTCACTGTAAGTATGTCTACATTTCAGTTGCAATGTAAAAGTTATGAATGATAACATTGTAAGATATTTCTAGTTCAACTATTAATTTAATCAGAATAAATACATATTTCCAATTAAATCGTTTCTACAGACAATTAAGTTGGAGCTATCTAAATCCCACCCCCAAATCATTATAACTTTCTTTGGAAAATAATGTATTTAATGATTCATTGTCTACTTTTTTTTTTTTTTTTGCTTTAAAATGACTGGTTGTCACTAGGAATCAATAAACGTATTCCAATTTTAAGTTTGTTCTTTCATTTTTTTTTAAGAAGTAAATTTTAATGACTTTCAAAAGCTAGAGATAATCTCAAGTATGGAACTCAGACATAGCACGGTTAACTTGTTACAACCTGACACTTAATATAGAAATGTATTAAATGCATTCTACTAAAAAGACCTAAAACATTTCTATATGGAAGGGTGGCAAAGTTTTCAGCCTGCTACTTGAAAACTGGTTTTTATCCTCCCTGGAACTTGTACACCCCATATATCACACTGTTGAATGTTAGACGCATGGTTATAAAATTGCAAAAATGGAGGCTTTTCTGGTAGCAAAAGGGTTAACTTCTTTTTGCTTTACCAGTTTCAAATTACAATGAGAAGCCTCTTCTTTCCCAGCAGGGCTGTGCTTACATTTCTCTTTAGATCTCTCTTGAAGAGGGCTGGTATATTTGTGCCTGCTGGAGGTGGAATTAACTGTGAGAAGGAGGAAGAGATTGAATGGATTTACAGGAAGGATTTCAAGTAAATTCAGGGAAACACATTTACTTGAACAGAATAACCTTGGGTCTTGTTTTACACTAAGACCATACAAAAGATGTTCAAGTTATCACTAGGCTGCCGGACAAGCATAATTCCAACACCAAGGTGCAGGCCAGCGTAGATCTGTGATTCAGACCTCAGGATTTGTTTTGGAAAGAGTTCAAGCATTGGGAAGAAGTCAGAGCAAGTGAAGAGAACTTGGGAGCTACAGTCTATCAGAAGACCAGCTTTCGTCAGTTCAAATACCAAAGGCCTGGTTATCATAAATTCACATAGGAATGCATAGGTTATTTGGTCAAATAATTTTAGCCAGCTTTTGCTCCATCAACACCGCAAAAGTTCTTAACAACTGTGGATAATTAGAAATCTGACCTTCAGCTTTCTTAGAAATAACTACTATTGACGTATTCTAAAATATTTAAAGCAGGAGAAGAAAATGGAGTGAGGATGCCGTGTTCAGAAATATCACTGTCATGAAGAATAGGTAAATTTGTTTTTACAGCTCCTGGCAAAGTGTACCTCCAAGGAACCTGGATTATTATTATTATTATTTTTTAAGTGGACAAGGATTAAAAATATCGACTTTTGCCTTTGGAAAAAAATGCATTGGACTGTATTTTTACTTAGGGTTACTGTGGGCTTCCTCTGGAGCAGCTGGGTTCAAGTGGGTTGTGCAAAAGGAAGCTTGGGAGACAATCATGTTCACTCCAGTTTTATTTATAGAAGACTACGGAACCACGAAAGACGGGAGATACAGAGGGAAATCCTCTCTATTTTGGGTCTGCCTCACAGACCCAGGCCCTTCTCACCTGGCAAGCAAGCCTCGTCTGCACCCCTCTTCATGCTGGATCTGTACAATGCCATGACCAGTGAAGAAAATCCTGGGGAGTCGGAATACTTGGTGAGGGTATCCCTGGCAGGAGAGGACAAGGAGGCAAGAAAGGCGTACCCAGCCTCTCCCAACGGGTATGCCCATCGTATGCATTTATCTCCAAGGATTCCTCTGACCACTCGGAGCCCACCTCTTGCCAGCCTACACGATACCAACTTCCTAAATGATGCTGACATGGTCATGAGCTTCGTCAACTTAGGTACGTTGTTCGTTTATTTGTTCATCTGGGTTACTATAAAGTGGAAGCTTTTCTAATGGTGCAGTAGCTCTTTGGTAGGTGGCTGTGTTTATATATTCATTTTATAAGACTCCCCTCCATAGCTTCTGTTTCCCTTTTTACACAGATACAAGATTTTGCTCTAGGTTATAGAGTCACATATATTTAACATGGAAAGCTTAAATTAAACAGTCACAATTTGGATAGAATTTGGTCCTTTGGGAGCTTATTAGAATTTAATTTAAAGATGTGCATAAAAGGCAATACTATAAAAAGGGAAATATATAAGGAGGGCAATGCATTGGGCAAAAAGGAAAAAAGAAAGAAAGAAACCAGTATTTATGTGTGGGGAAATAAAGATAACTTTCCATTTCTTTGTTAGTGATTTAAAGAGCATGTGAACACATACATATTCATGTGCTACTCAAAAATTCTCACCCAGGGGAAGAAATTATTGTAAAAGTCTTTAAATAAAATTAAGCAAGATCAAATGGAACTGTAAAATATTAACAATCAAGGGAGTTCAGTGAAAAAGTAGTTTAAAAGAGAAGTTTCGAGCTAACATTTCTTAGTGTCATGACTAAATGTAGTCATGGCTAGAAAAATATAAAACTTGCTTTCTCGGTATTTATACCAAATTCTCCTTTGAGATTAAAACATTTTAAATTGATAATTTCTGTAAATATTAACAAGGATATTAAGGAATAGGTTTTAAAATTATATTTCATTCAGTGCTAGTGCTTCATGGTAATTTTTAAATATTGACAGTCTCAAATGGCGGATTACTACCCAGTATTTCCAGAATATTAAATAGTTTACCTACTTAAGATGACTTTACAAGGGCTGTTTTATACTAAAACACTTTAGTATAAACTGAAGATGAATTGGCTATCTTTAGATGTTTAAGGGAAAGTAACATTAAACATAATTTAGTTTTAAGACTTAAAATTTAGCAAATTTAATAAACTTCCAAAAAAATCAAGAGCCTTTAAATATTTTAGTTTTAAAATGCTCTCTGGGTTGACTTCAAGATATTTTTACTCTACACCTAGTTAAAAATATCCTTGTATACTGTCTCAAAGGAAATACTTTCTGAGAAGTCAGATAGCAACCAATCTTGGTGACACACGGCCACGTTTGTAATGTATGTTCTTTAATATGCTGTGGTCATTTACTCCTAGCAATCCTGGCAAGAAGGACAGGGGCTTACTAAATCATATGTTTTGTGTTACCAGGGACAAAGCTTTTAGTGCTGAGCTTTAGGAAACCGTCGTCTCCTGCACATCAGGTGCTCTGCAGGTCTTCCTTGTGGCTTTTCTTTTGTACATAGAATTAGCAGGTTTCAGTGAGAGCTTTCAAGTAGAATGTAATTCTAAACTGGCTTGATTCCTTCTTCTTAGTATAAGGGCTGTGAAAATAGCCTTCACAGTGTATTTTAATTTGCAGCTTTTTCATTCAAGAATGTTAATATCACTAGACCAACTTTCACTCAGTGTAATTAAATGCAAATCACTATATTCAGGTGTGAACTTTAACCACGTAAGCAGCTAAAGCTAAACTCATCACCTTTAACCTTTCAGTTATTTTAGTGGTTTGTTCACTTTAGAGGAGAAGCTAAAAATGATTGGACTAATGTCAGTTATTAGCTTAGGCCATCTAAAAAAGAGAATTTGTGATTAAGTAACAATAGCTCAGTCATTCATCTGCCTTAACAACATATATCATTAAACGGAGTCTTTTGATCATTTGTAACTGGTATTCATTGCTATGTTAGGAAATTATTAGAGTTTTGAAATTGTATGCACTGTTTGTTATAAATACAGAGAAAATTAAAAAAAATTAGAAAGCAATTTATTCAATGATTTCAACACTGTTTTACCATTAAGTGATACTTTTTCTTTTAAATTAATGACTTCTTTTTGTGTTGGTCATGGTACAACCCAGTTGTTTCTCAGCTCATTACTTATATCAATATATAATTATTTATTTTATTCTAAGAAGTAGTATTAGATTTAAACGCCAGAAGCATTTGATCGTGCTTAAACAGGTGGACAGTGTTTTCCTCAGTAACAAACCATGTGGTGTTTTCTTTTTTAATAATCCCCAAATAAATGTGTCATAAGAAATTAGTAGAAAATGGATCCTGACTCTGGATGAGTTTCTTGTGGTTGTCGTGAGGTGAAATCGAGGTACAGTTTTATTGCTCTTAAAACGTGTCTACTCATATAACCAAACTTTACAGCCAATCACTACTTAGTATAAAACTCACTTTTGTGTTTCCTCCGCACATAAAACAAATCAAAGTATACTTGGAAAGGTAAAGGTATGATATCATTATAAACCGAACCAAAAAAAAAAAAAAAAACAAAAAAACCAGTGCTTTTAAGGTAACGTTCAGCAGCGTATGTTACCTGGGCTGTGTTTCACACTGTTATGAAGCTCAAGGGGAATTTATTTCTCCAGCATCTCAAAAAATGTCTGTGTTGTGGTGACCAAGTCCCAGTGAGTCCGGTTAGCAGTAGTGGGGTGTGTTTGGAGTGTGTGTGAAGGTGTGGATAACATCTGTAACATTTCCCATGACTAATTCAACTTAATCCAGACTCAGAATCATATCCAACACAATATTTATTTATTTATAAAATTTTCTCGTGAATTGGTTATTGTTTTTTTTTTATAAGTGAAAAAGATTCTTTTCTAGTAAAAGGTGAAAATAAAATGTAACAGGACTTAGCTATGCAAGCATCTACATTTAAGCTAAACTCATTATTTTTTACCTTTAAGTTATTATAGCAACTTGCTCACTTTGAAGAAGCAAAGCTAAATAGTTTGATCAAATTTAGCTTTTCTTAAATCAAGAAAGAGACTTACAAGCTAACTCCCTACTCTCAAATTGTTGAGCATCAGTTAAATTTTTGTTGAATTGATACCAATTAATTCTGTGGGGAACAAAAATTTCTTTAGGGTATTTGTTTTTTTTTTTTTTTTTTTTTGCTTTTTAATGTATTTTTCCTAAATGTTTACTTGGTTTATGTATGAAGTACAAACGAACAACTAAATTATGCATCTTTAGAATTTAAGTGCAGTTTCTGTCACATAAAGATAATATCTGTGGGATATTTCTAGAATGATTTAAAGATTAGCTATCAATGTTTTACCTAATTATTTGATTATGCTAAATAATACATTAAGAGCAAATGATAAAAAAAATGGGAAACTTGTGTTATTCATTACCTACATATATTTTCCTGAAAGCAAAAACTGACATTTGTGCCTATTAGTAGTTTTTGGCTCATGGATGCATTGCTTTTAAATCCCTTTCAGATACATTTTAAGAATGTGTTCAAGTATAAAGTATGTAGAAGTAACTCCTAAGGTTTTCACGGTTTATAACATTTTAACATGTTAGGTATGAAAGGAGCAGTGCGGGGAACATTAAATTTAGGCTCCCTTCTTAAACTCAATAAACTCCCCTGATATTGGAAAAATATGTTTATATCCTCATTGATATTTCTGCTTTGGGCTGACTCAAGTGCTCGGTGGAGAAGGACTTACACATAAACATATGTAAAGATGGTACCTATGGCATGGAGTCTCTGAAAACAGAGTTTTTAACAGGTGTAATAGAAACACACCCGTAAACACATTCAAAAGCTTTTTTTTTTTTAATGTAAATGATGAGTTGAGTGAATAGATTTGAAACCACTCTAGCACCTATTCCATGGATTCCGTCTGAAGTAGGAAATAAAAACACTGGGCAATACAACAATCATTCTTTAAATCCCCCCCCCCCCCGCCCCAGTCTGTTTGAAGGGAAAAAAAAATTATTGCTAAGGATGAAAACCTTTTCCCTCTTCATCAATGATCACCCTCATTCATAACCGAGACAACCAGATTGTGGTTGTTCAAGTTATTTTATTGCCAAGTGACTGATGCAGCTCCCAGAGTTATTAAACAGAGTTAAATAATAAAAAAAAATGTATATCTTAATGGTCACTTACAAAACAGTCAGTTTTAAAAGTCTGAAGACAAGTGCCTGGGGAATTAGGAAGGCATGGACATATAGCTGGAAGGCACTGGAAAGGCCCCAAGCACCACCTCTAGGGCCTCTCTCACTGTCTATAATTACACACTCTTCCCTCTCCCCCTGTCCCAACTCCAACACTTTTAATTCTCCACTTTTTAGTTCTGGTTTCTGGAGCCCCCCAGGCTATCTTGGCCTGCTGTCTTTACCCTTCCCACCCTTCCTGGGATTTGCCTTTGGTCTTTCTTTCTTTATAACTAAGGACTTAGATTGGTTGAAAATCGATTAGTTCCAGCTTGATAACCTAGGCACAGCCTCCTGCTTTCTCAGTAGTTGAGAAGGGAAAGGTAATCACGTGCTGTGCCAGGTGCAGCCTCACCCACAGGGAGGAGAGCAGGCCAGGACATTTGGATCCACTGGCTTCTGCTGTCCCCTGCAATGATTTCTCTGACACCCCACTGCTCCCCGCCTTCTTTTCTACTCTATTTGAGGCTCCCTTTGACAAAACTTAATTGACGTCTTTGACTTTACTATTCTTAAAGATGATTAAAATATACAAGGACACAGGTTAAAGCAAAATGAAAGGTTGGAAAGACTCCAACACTGACTAAAAGTAATTCAGCATTCAATTCCCGCACAACTTTTCTTTACATTATCTTCATTCAAGATTGATGACGCTAATATTAAGAAATTATTTTCTTTATTAAATTCTCAAGAGGCAGTAATGGGCTAGATGAAGATAATGTAGACACAAGGCTGAAAAAGAAACGAAGTATGTTTTAAAAGCACCTTAAAATGACAGTAAATGAGGCAGCTATTCAAAGCTGGTCTTCGAGGTGTGCAGGTGGAAGATGTGCGGGGGAAACCTCCCTCCCCCCCATCTACCTCACGCTGGCCCAACAGCCGATTTACCATCCTCAACCACAGCAGCTCTAGCAAAAAGCTCTATCATCCTTCTGCA